GACTTTACACTTTCCTAATGGACACAGCCTTGACTTATTGTACATCACAAGAACCTTGTCTGTGTGCTCCATTTTGATGTTCGGGTTCAACAAGTTGATGGGAATAACGTTGCAGGTTGCACCACAGTCAACTTGAAACTTGACCAGGCTGTTGCCAATCATCATGCCTGCAAACAGCTGTTCTCGTTTTTTCATGTCTGATTCTTTGATCTGGTTCACTTCTACTGCAGTCTGTGTCATAGCTGTGACAGTCATTATGTCCTCACAGGAATCCGAGTCCTGCTCCGTCACTGTGTGGACCTTTTTTCCGTTTTCACTCTGTCTGCTTTTACTCCTGCATGCTATAGCAAAATGATTTTCTTTGCCACATTTTTTGCATTTTTTTCCATATGCTGGGCATTTTGATTTGAGTCTTTCATGTGCTCTTCCACAAAATCTGCATGGTACTCTTTGAATGCTATTGTGACCAAGTGGTCGGCGGGGTTATAAAAGAAATGATAAAATGACAACACCACCTGGGGGGAATTCTAGCCCCCAGGAAATATAAACTTTAAAAATGGAATTTAATTTAAAAAAAACAACGTTTGCACAGGTTCAGGGATGCACATTGAGGCCGGCTCAATGTATTAACACCATTTTATTTATTAAAAAAATAAAAACAAAACAACAAAGACAGCGCACTAAATGTCTAAAATAGTGTCCCAAATTACAACAAAATAAACATACAACTGGGACTTACCAGCAGCGGTGGACCAAAAGAAAACCACACAAAAAAACCCCACTATAGTCTATTCACCTGGTGCTGTACAACAAAAGTGTGGAAAACGACCCGCCACCTAAGGTCCCACGGCCGCTGGTAAATCCTCAGTTCACTGAAATAGAAAGCACAAGATATACACGTTAAACAGGATAAAAAAAAACCATGGGACATAAAAAGGCGCTCTATATACTAAAAAAAAGAAAGAAATTAAAAGGAAAACGGAGACCTGTAATAAAACACACCCACATACACACCACAGAGCACAGATTGGAAACACTCGTGCTCTGCGAGCCAGCCCACAGCTGGTGCTGGTTCCGATTGTCCGTAGCCCTACTCAGTCTCGCGCAGCTCTCCGCAACTGGGAGAGGGAAAGAGAGAGGCGGTACCGGTTTTTGTAACACCAGCCCAATATGCAGCTGAAGATCGCCCCGACCAGCCGGGAAAGCTGGAGTAAAACGATAGTCCAAAAAGGGCTTAGCATGAAACCCAAAGCCCCCAGGGGCGAGGCGAGGCCAGCAGCGGGAATAAAACTGGACGGCCAACAGATCGGAACACAAGATGAAACAGGGCAAGACAAGACAGCAGCTAGGCAGGCATCTCGACTCTTTGCTTAAAAATCAGGCAGTTGGTCCCTGAGAAGGTGCGGCAGCAATCAAACCCTTGTGGAGCAGGGAAATTATTTTACTGCTATTGTTAAATAATTATCATCATCACCATTGCGTTAATAATATAATCTGTAGTTTATATTGCATTCAGAGGTTTAAACAGTGTGTGTCTTTCAGAAAGGCTAAAAGTTGCAGGCTGACAGGAAGTTGCAGAGAGTTTGCAGAAGTGAAAGCAGAAGGTTATTTTGAGCAGCAGGCTAAGACGATCATTGCTTTAACAATGTAACAGATAGCTTTAAGAAGGCCTTAAGATGTTAACTTTGTATTTTTTATACACAATGCATATCTGTGCTTAGAGTTGGAGCTCGGTCAATTAATTGGGGGTTGGAAGCTTTGTTCGGCGCGATGTCCGGACAATCTATTGTGCAAGTGACTTGGAGCTATAGAAGGTTAAAACTGCGTACATGCTTACAAAACACTTTATATCAGGTCATTTTATATTAAGGTTTCATTAGAGGTTTTTGATTAGAACATTTATTTAGTAGAAGACATACACATAGTCTCAGTGAGCCTCTGTCCTGGTGAAAGGTCAGAAGTGCGAGAGGTGACATAGAGGCTGAGTGAGGTCAACACACACACATTAGTTAGATTTATTTATAGGAAAGAGTTTAGACATGTCTGGTGCTAACTGCGAAAGTGTCTCGGTGAAAGAGGAACCGTTCCTTGGTGTCTCGGCAAGAAAGAGGAACAAGACAAGAACTGAAAGGTAGACAGGAAGGGCCAGCCATGAAAATAGAAGATGATGTTCTTCTTAAAAGTCATTGTGGTGTTGATTTGACGTATGTATAAAATGTATCTGTGACGCATGAGGGGGCGTCAGTAAATCAAACCCTGATGCTATAAAAATCTGTTTATGCTTTGATTAAGTCGAAGATCAATTGCTGTCTGCGTACAGAGTTGTCTTCCCACGCGTGTATTCATTAAAATGGTAAATGGTAAATGGCCTGTATTTATATAGCGCTTTTCTAGTCCCTAAGGACCCCAAAGCGCTTTACATATCCAGTCATCCACCAAAATCATCGTTTGACTTCACCCGGCCGGATCAGTGTGGTTATTCTTCGATCACCTCTTGTACCCTTCCTCAATATTGAACCCTTAACACCCTACAAACAAAAACAGGCAAAGATAACCTTAATCGTCTCTAATTTACAAATACTAGCAGCTATAATATAAGCGGCTTACCCCAAGACTGGAGGCGCTGTACTGTACGGTGAACGCAACTCACACATCTCTCCACCACAGCTGGAGTAAAGAAAGAGAAACAGCCTCGCTGTAGCAGTCACACAATCCGATTGTATCGGTAAATTAACCAATAGGCCAGCATTTACTGCTGTATCGCACCAGAAGCTCGGGAGGAATGATCCAACAAAAATAACCGGCTTCCCTTTATACAGGTAAACACCACCCTGTAATCAATATGCAGGTGGGTTCCTAATTAACCCAATCACATGATACAAGGAGCGAGTGCAGCGGAAAGAGAGCGAGGGTGGTAGAGCGAGCGAGAGAGAGAGAAAAAGAAGGGCGAGTAGCCCATCCGGCTACATCTACCCCCCCTTTTTTCATTGGCGCCCCGACAATAACTCAAGGAACCTAACACCATGGCCTGAATATGGCAAGCTGAGCATTAGCAACTGACGCAGATTCAACAGGACGTGGCAAGTGATAAACATTTGAGTGATGACCAGCTGTTGAACGTGCTGTTCTCCGTAAATGTGGCCCACTCACCTCAGACTGTTCAACAGAGCCTGAGGAAGAACCTGGGGGAGCAGAGGTCGAGGGTGCTACAATCACACTGGGAGTAGACCTGAGCTCCACCGATGGAACTCTAGAGGCATCGGGAAGTGACACCACAGGTGCTACAGGGTGTGAGGGTACCTCAGGGACAAGGAGCCACAACTCGTCGTCACTCAGAGAGGTCTGCTCTGAGTCAGCAGGTACAGGTGGGGGTGGAACCTGTGGACCAGGTGTAGGAGGCCCTAGGCTGACCTGTGCCTTCAACATGTCACAATGGTAAATGGTAAATGGTAAATGGCCTGCATTTGTATAGCGCTTTTCTAGTCCATAGGACCCCAAAGCGCTTCACACTACATTCAGTCATTCACCCATTCACACACACATTCACACACTGGCGATAGCAAGCTACATTGTAGCCACAGCTGCCCTGGGGCGCACTGACAGAGGCGAGGCTGCCGGACACAGGCGCCACCGGGCCCTCTGACCACCACCAGTAGGCAAACACGGGGTTAGTATCTTGCCCAAGGATATTTGGCATGCAGCCAGGATGCAGCCTGGGATCGAACCACCGACCTTCTGATTAGTGGCTGACCTGCTCTGCCACCTGAGCTACCTGAGCTACAGCCACCCCGACAATGGACATGTCGAACCTTCTCCAAGTCTCCCACGGGGGCAATGGTATAAACAGCCCCGTTCTCTTGGGGTGCCCTCAACACCTGATAGACCACAGAGCTCCAAAGGTCCTGGATCTTGTGCCGGCCCCGGGCGCTGTGATCTCGAAGATACACCAGCTGACCGACCTTTAAAGGGACAGGGTGGACTCTCTGGTCATGCCGCTCCTTACGACGGTCAGCGGCCAGCGACAACCGTGCCCGAGCTCCCTCAAAAGCCACCATTAACCTGGCTTGGTGCTCGGCCACCCAGTCCTGTACCTCTCCAGGCACTGGGTCCTGAACGCGGCCTAGAAGGAAATCAATAGGCAGCCTAGGATCCCTGCCAAACATCAAGAGAAACGGTGACTCTCCAGTGCCCTGATGTGGCGTGCTATTATAGCAAAAGAGCACATGCGGTAAGCATGCAGCCCAGTCACGTTTCCGAGATGATGGCAGAGTCCGGAGGAGGTTATGGAGGGTTCGGTTAAACCGTTCGCACTGCCCATTACCCGCTGGGTGGTAAGGGGTTGTACGGGACTTGGCTACCCGATACAATTCGCATAACTGTTGCATCACCAAACTCTCAAAATTTCTACCCTGGTCAGAGTGGAGGCGGCTTGGAACGCCAAACTTAAAAAACCACTCTGTTAACAGGGCCTGGGCCACAGTAGAGGCCCGCTGGTCCCGGGTAGGGACTGCAACAGTGTATTTGCTAAAAACGTCAGTCATAACCAAGACGTTTTCAACTCCACTACGGGAAGGTTCCAACACCGTGAAGTCTATGGCCAGGATTTCATTTGGCCTAGACGCCAACAGGTGACCCATATAACTGTGAGACCCCAACTCTGAGTCCTTTGCGACCTGACAGCGTTCACAACGCTGAACCCATTGCTTGATGTCAGAGGACATCCCGGGCCAATAGCAACGCTGCCTGACCAGTTCAGTGGTACGCTCAATACCTTGGTGCCCATGGTCCTGGTGCAGCTGCCTCAAGGTCTCAGGCTTCAGAGCCTCTGGGAGAACAAGTTGGAGGGCTTCCTCACCTCCACCTGGACGCAAAATACGGCGATAAAGGATGCCATCCTTCTCCACCAGACGGTCCCACTGACGCAGCAGAACCATGACTGGTTTGGGGACCTGACTCCTTTCCTCTGAAGAGGGCGGGGTGTGCCTCCTCCAGTATACCAAGAAATCCTTGAGGAGGGGGTCAGCCTCCTGCAAAGCACGAATATCCTCCAGGGAGTGAGATGGAAAGGCCCCAATCTCCAACTGAGTAACGGAGGGCAAAACGGCTGGACACTGAGCCTGCTGAAGTGAAGTCGGGACACAAGTCCCAGGCAACACACCCTCGGCCAAGCTGGAGCTCGTCTCATACTGTCGAGAGAGAGCATCAGCATTCCTATTACTGCGGCCTGAGCGATACTTGATCTCAAAATCGAATGCTGCCAGCTGGGAGGCCCACCTCTGCTCGGTGGCACCCAGCTTAGCTGAAGAGAGGTAACTGAGTGGATTGTTATCGGTGTAAACCACACACTTCTGCCCCAGCAGGTACTCCCGGAACTTCTCGGCCATGGCCCACTTGAGCGCAAGAAACTCCAGCTTCATGGAGCTGTAATTGTCCATATTGCGCTCATGTGGCCGAAGACCTCGACTAGCATAAGCCACTGGCCTAACGACACCCTCTACATCTTGGGAGAGAACTGCACCTAAACCACTGTGGCTGGCGTCAATCTCCAAGATAAATGGGCACGTAAAGTCAGCATATGCTAGCACAGGTGCAGACACAAGCTTTGCTTTCAGGGCCTCAAAGCTCTCCTCACACTGAGGGGTCCAAATAGCACTCAAACTCTGTCCCGAGCCCTTCTTTGTCTTTGTGCCAGCCGCCAACGCCGCCAATGCGGCAAACCCCTCCACAAAGCGCCGGTAATAGCTGGCGAAACCCAAAAAGGATCGCAACTCTGACACGGAACGAGGACACTGCCATTTGGCTACTGCGTCAACCTTGGCTGGATCGGTCGAGACACCCTCACAGGAGATTACATGGCCCAAGTAGTTAACCTTCTGCTGGAAAAAGGCACACTTTTCTAACTTAGCCTTGAGCCCCTGTTGCTGCAGCCTTGCCATCACCATCTCTAGCCGTTGCAGGTGCTGAGAGACAGACGAGGAGAACACAATGATGTCGTCTAGGTACAGCAGTAATGACTGGCACTGCTGATCCCCGAACATCCTCTGCATTAGGCGCTGGAAGGTACCAGGAGCATTGCACAGCCCGAATGGCATACGATTCCACTCGAACAGGCCAAACGGCGTGCAAAAAGCGGTCTTGGGCTTATCCTGCTCAGAAACTGGCACCTGGTTGTACCCGCTGGCCAGATCGATGGTAGAAAACCAGCGTGCGCCAGCTAGGGCATCCAGACTTTCCTCGATGCGAGGTAAGGGGAAGGCGTCCTTCCTTGTTTTGCTATTCAGCAAACGATAGTCAACGCACAGACGGAGGCTTCCATCCTTCTTGCGGACCAACACGATGGGAGAGGCATAAGGACTGCTACTTTCCCTAATTACCTGGGCCTCCAGTAGCTGGTTGATATGAGCCCTGACAGCCTCATAATCAGAAGGAGGAATTCGCCTGTACCTCTGCCGGACAGGTGCGTCATCGAGCAGCGGTATGTCGTGCGAAATGAGGTTTGTGCAGCCCAAGTCTCCCTCATAAGTGGAGAAAACAGAGCGGTACTTCCGCAAAAGTAACCGTACCTCATGTTGCTCTGACTCAGCGAGAGCAGACAGGTCAATCGTATCCACCATCTCTTGAGCAGGGCTGCTGGTTGTATGGGAGGAAACGGTAACGGGAAAAGAGTGTTCCTCGCTAACACCGGCAGGGAGGCTAACAACAGTAGCTTTGCTTATCACTCCCAAACGGGTCCGCGGGTGGAGAACAGCTTCCGCTGTCCCTACATTGGTGACTGGGATGTAGGCAACGCCCTTATCCACCTGGACCAAACATGGAGAGGCCAGCAACCCAACTGGCAACCCGGACTCAGAAGGTTCAAAAAGCACAGCCTGACCTGACAACTGCTGAACAAGTAGTGGCCACCAGCTGCATAACACCACCAGGTATCCGCACGGCCCGCGGGCCCTGTACCTTAACGGTACCGACAGGGTCCTCTGGGGCTTGGGCTGCAGACTGGTGACACTGATGTAAGGCCTCCAAAACTGGTCTCGGTGCCTGTGACACAGAAGGAGAATTAAACAAGGAGCCACCGAAAGCCCCAGACCTGTCGATCAATCAGGCGCAGTAAGGAAGCGGTCTCCAGTCGACTGCTCCGGTTTATTTGGGATGCTCGAACCTCCCCGGCAACCAACCGAGCAAAAAACCTGACCCCGCGTCCGAGGTCAGGGGTCACCGCCACAGTGCTGAGCAACTACGCCCTTAAGGGACCTCGTCCCCCGTCCTAAGAAAATTACTTGTTTTTAAAAGCCTCACGGTGCGCTCTCGGCCCCGTTTAGTTATCTGAAGCCCGGGACCGCGTCCCTGCTAATTAATTAAACCAAAAACCCTACACTAACCAGATGACTGCTGGCATCCAGCCATCCACATCGGTTTCTACACACCTTAAAACCGTGTTATTCGTTTCCACACACCTTAAACCGTGTTATTTTAACCTCATAAAACCTCTTAAACCTCTTAAAATTCGCTCCCACAATAAACAGCTATACCTTTTATCAGTAAAATATTCCCCAAACATCTAACACTAATTACCCCAAAATCACCACGGACCGAACAGAAGCTCCACTGAGTGAACCTTTAATTTAGCACCTATTTTCCAACAGGCGGTGCTTACCTCTCATATTTCCGGGCCCATCACTCAGTGTAGCTCCCGGCCGTCCGTCCGACACCACTAGGCCGTCAGCCAAGCTCCTTAAAATATCCCTCCTCAAACCGGGTTTCGGCACCAGATTGTTATGGTTCGAATTTGAGGAGAAGACAAACGGCTGCATGGTCTCAGTAGGATGTCAGAATAGGTGATTTTATTATACATATGTACATATGGGGAAGATGAGCAGTACAAGGCTCTAAGCGCTGATCTCCCACCGAACAACCACGTCACAAGGTTTTTATTACAATGATGACGTCAAGTCACATGATCGGTATCAGTCAGGGGGAACTCAGAAAGTTCCCCTTATAAGGCCTCCAGATGTTTCCACTCAATCCAGCACTTGGAGAAAACCGTGTGTGTGTGGTGTGTATCTCTATTCGTGTCTATTGTGTGTGTATGTCGAACAGAGAGCATGTCCTGAGCCGACCTCACAGTTAGATATTACTGGAAATGATAACAGTTTGGGCCTGTTCAGAGAGTTTACCTAATATGGACATGAACTGCTACTTTAGAGAAAAACAAGTGTGTAATACATTGTGCATTTTGTAATAGTGCAGCTCTCTGTCCTAAGACGACCTTTCTGTTCTTATTAAGTGTGTGTGTTGTTACAGGCCGTCGTACGTGCAGAACTGAACATAGAACTAAGGCAGGGTCCAACAGGACCCACAGGCTTCTGAGTGGTTACAGAACTGTAAAACAGCTTTAAGCAAATAACAAGAATAATGCCGAACAACAATAGACTGATTAAAGTACTGATAATCTGTGTAGATTAATATTAACATAGATGTGGTTCAAAGATTATTCTGTCAACTGGTTCAACAATGGTAAATGATTAATGATTGATACTTCTGATTATAACTGTGATCATAAGAATACAAAATAAAATATCTCCTGGTCAGGAGCCACCGAAAGCCCCAAACAGTTCTTGATAACAGCGGCGGATTACGTTCATTCCTAAGATGCCAGGGACAGAGGGCGTAGCCCCAGGAGGGTCCTTCACTATAAGGATTCCACAAGAGGGCATTTCCTTGCCACACAGGAGTACACTGAGCTCCAAATAGCCAATGTAAGGGATGGCAAGCCCATTGGCAGCCCGAAGCTGTAGCCAATGGCATGACTGAAGGCGTTCCTGTCCCCAAGGGGCAAAATGTGCCAAAAAGAAACTTTCTGTGATGGTGGAAACCATGGACCCAGTATCCACCAAACAAGGGACAGTTACCCCACTAATAAGCACATCCATCTTTGGACACGATGAAATTAGCCTGCCAATCCTATCTTTCTGTGAGCCAGTGAACTCCCCACCTGAACTGTGACTCTGCAGCTCAGATGGCGTTAGTTTTCCGACTGGGTAGCGGGAAGATGATTGCCAACTGCGGCATAAGGAGGGCCTGAATCAGAACCTGCTCTAGGGCGGCGTGAAGCCCGCTCCCCAGTGCACTCCCTAGCAAAGTGTCCTGGCTGCTGACACCGGCGACAAATCACCGAGCCAGCCCGTGAAGGCCGAACACTTCTTCGGGGGTTCTGTAAAGAAACCACTGTCTCAGTGAGCTGATTTAACTGCTCTTGTTGGCGCTTTAGGAGTTCCTTTAGCTCACGCCACTCGGACTCGGGTGTACCAACAGGAGCGAACCTAGGGCTAGTGTGCACTCCGCACTGAAAACCATATGCCGATGGTTGAGAATAGCCACGGTCGCGAACACCGCCTGAAAACCCTTCTCTTTCCCATCTAATTGCTTCCCCGCGCACCTCTAACAAGGTGGCAGTAGGCACACGGCGAACGTATTGTTTAAGCTCTCTGCGGAGACCACTATCAACCACATGTTCTACAAATTGGTCTCGGAGCAACACCTCTGCGTTACGCATACCATCAGGTGCACTTTGTTTTACTTGCTCCATCAGAGCCATTAGCGCTAAGGAAAACTCCTGCAAAGTCTCTCCCTCCCGCTGTCTCCTCGAAAAAAAAGCCTGCTGCAGAGTGACATAGGACTGCGCATTGCCATACAGTTCCTTTAAAATGGTCAACACCCGAGCAGGATCCCCTCGCTCTAAATTAGGGCGAAATTTGATCTCCTCCCTTGCTTCTCCCTCTAAATGGTCAAAAATAAAGAAAGCTTGATCAGCAACAGACAGGTGCCGGGCACGCATGCATGCTTGAACCTCTTCAACCGATTCAGCTATACCACCACCAATCGCTCTGTAACGGCGGCCTGGCTACCAACATTTGGTATGCAGCCAGCTGGTACGAAGGAGGACGATGCGGCACCACCACCAGACTCGAGCACAGCGCCCCCATCCCGGCGCAATTGCTCATTATCTGCCTTAACTGCGCTACCAAGTCTCTAAGTTGCTGCAATTCTTCCTCCATAATAAATTTTGACCAAAAAAAGAAAATTAAATCAGCAAGGTGCTAAAATCCTACTACTCTTCCTTCTACCTGGATACTGCTGTCTTGTCTATAATCACACTTAAAACAAATAGAGCCTTCAAACAGGTGAACTAGGATCGTTGCAAAAAATAAAACAATTTACAAAACCAAACATCTACCTCAAATGTGCATCCTGTCGACCAACGCCAAGTATGTGACCAAGTGGTCGGCGGGGTTATGAAAAAATATAAATGACAACGCCACCTGCGGGGGAATTCTAGCCCCCAGGAAATATAAACTTTAAAAATGGAATTTAATTTAAAAAAAACAACGTTTGCACAGGTTCAGGGATGCACATTGAGGCCGGCTCAATGTATTAACACCATTTTATTTATTAAAAAAAAACAAAACAACAAAGACAGCGCACTAAATGTCTAAAATAGTGTCCCAAATTACAACAAAATAAACATACAACTGGGACTTACCAGCAGCGGTGGACCAAAAGAAAACCACACAAAAAAACCCCACTATAGTCTATTCACCTGGTGCTGTACAACAAAAGTGTGGAAAACGACCCGCCACCTAAGGTCCCACGGCCGCTGGTAAATCCTCAGTTCACTGAAATGAAAGCACAAGATATACACGTTAAACAGGATAAAAAAAACCATGGGACATAAAAAGGCGCTCTATATACTAAAAAAAAGAAAGAAATTAAAAGGAAAACGGAGACCTGTAATAAAACACACCCACATACACACCACAGAGCACAGATTGGAAACACTCGTGCTCTGCGAGCCAGCCCACAGCTGGTGCTGGTTCCGATTGTACCTGGAGAGATTATATCTCTCGGCTGGCCTGGGAACGCCTTGGTGTTCCCCCGGATAAGCTGAAGGAGGTGGCTGGGGAGAGAGATGTCTGGGCCTCTTTGCTTAGGCTGCTGCCCCCGTGACCCGGCCCCGGATAAAGTGGATGAAGATGGATGGATGGATAATGCTGACCATGTTGATTGTGTTTATTCCAATATGCAGAGATTGGCTAATATGACCAGGAAATGCAATAAACAGGACTGTCAGAACAGTCGGCGTTAAAGTCACCTTTGACAGTCCAGACTAGGATGGCATTGGACATCCTCAGGGTGGAAAAGGGTTGGTGTGGCCAAGGTGTGGTTTGGCTTGTTGTATGCATATTTCAAAATGATACAGCTCTGGATGGGCCAGTCACCAGGGCGTGGAAGGATAACAGACTTTATTAAATGAGGAGGAGGAATTTTCTGGGATTAAAGATCCTCTGGGAGAGTGGTTGACTGAAGCATGCCGAAAATAAAACTATTATTTTATAATTGATTGATAACTGATTGATAATTGGCCATATTCACAACTGTATCGACTTGTTACAGCAATAACCGTGAACGGATAGGTGGAAATCCAGAAGCACCAGACCAAGGAGGGTCTGGCTAAGAAAGGGGGCCTCAGCTGAGACCCCAAAAGAAACATGGGGCAAAATAAATCCCCTGATCTATGCAATGAACCAAAAGGTAGTCGACCCCTGAGGTTTGAAGAAAGAAGAGGAGCAGAGAACCACCCAACTGTTAGACACTGGTAGCTGCAGAAATAAAGGTCAAAAGCTCCTCAGGCAGAGGTTCTGGTCTGAGCACAAAGGTGGAAGCAGGAAACAACCAGAATGGGGATCGGGGACGATAGAAAATGATGGGATATCTGAGAATTAGCTTTAGTAGTAGTCTGTGATTTTTATGTTATGACAATTGCCCAGACACAGCAGTCATCCCATATATGGCCCACTCTTTAAAGGGGGCCCAGAGAGGGAAAAGAAGCATGATAACTAAGAGAACTGACACCTAGTGGGTAAAAAGGGGGTGTGTGTAATGTCTGGAGAGATGTGCTGCACTTTCATTCTCAAGAACATGGCCTGAGATGGTTCTGTAACTGGAACCCTGGGAGGACTCAGAACATCATTTAAGAAAATAGGAAATGCATGAATATTTGGAATTGATAATCCGTTTCTTATTCGTTTTTACATCTATTTGGGTAATTTGTGGTGGTGTGCCTTCTATCCAAGGATTATTGGTAAGGTTGGATAACAGGGCTGTTGGGGATCTGATACCAAAGCAGACTACATGGTGATGCTTGATGACTTTTAATAATGTTCATCTGCCATGAGGCAGATCAAAGGAGGGACCTGTTGGGATTAAATAATTTGCAGTGCCTCAATAATGCTATGCTTTTTATTAATTATTGTTGCATGTGTGTTGTTGCTGCCTGTGTTTGAGTAATTTCTGTAACTGTGAGACATCTGCTGCTGCCTATCTTGGCCAGGTCTCTCTTGAAAAAGAGGTTTTTAATCTTAATGGGATCTTCCTGGTTAAATAAAGGTTAATAAATAAATAAATAAATAATAAGTGTTATAAAGTTATATATTGTAGTATTAAGTGGATACAGCCCTGAAAAATAAAGGCATTAGACCATGTGCCCTTGGGGAGTAGAAAGCTGTAGACTCTTGCTCACGCTTGCCTGAGAAAATGTAGATAAGAGGGGACCATCTCTAGTGGAAAGTTACTGAGACACTGTTGTTTAGACTAGAATGAGAGAGTGTCTGTTATAAAACTGTTAGGAGCACACCACCATTTTGGGCACACCACCATCGGATGCCTCTGAGGAATCAAAGAAACTCGGTGAAGTGTTGATATTTACAGTGCAGACATATTTTTCATTGACTAGTGCTCAGGTGGTAGGAGATGGAGCCACAGGAAAGGTAAACCCATTGATTTTAACATTAAAAAATACAACAAAACTTTGTTTTGACAAAAGTTGTGGGAGCAGCGGATGGACTTATTTAACCTTGGGGATAGATATCGGGGGTTCAGATCCACTGGGGTTTTTTAGTGTGAAGTTTGGGATGGCCACGTCAAATGCAACCTCAGCCCATGTCCCGACGGAGTTGTCAGGACATCAATTAGTTACTTATTTAAACACAACTGGACCGGAAGATGTGGTGCAAATAGAGACAGGTTATATAGATAAGAATGTATGGCTGGATTGGATAACTTACACAGCCAAGTCTAATGACATGACAGAATGTGTAGCCTGCTCTAGAGCACGCCCCACACTGTTCACAGTGCCAGCCCCTTTGTTGTTTTGGGAAGACAGGCCGGGATTTGATTGCATGTTGCAGCTCCACATGAAGGAAAGGGTGGATCGTGATTGTATTACATTGGGTACCCCTCTTCCCAGGAAGGGTGTTATTCCCCCTGTGTTCTCCCCAAGAGCTGTAAACTACACCTGTTTGACCAGGGTAAGTGTCACCCCAATAGGTGCTCCAGGTGAGGCATGGTGTGATAAGGTGATAGATGTCATTGAATGGGCAAATATGAGCAGCATTAATGTTGCTCGTGCGGACCTGTTCTGGTGACAAAATTCTGAGGGACACCCTGCCGAGAGGCTGGTCGGGAGCCTGCACTGTTGTAAGATTGGCACTTCCTATAGTATTAGCGGGATCTCATGCTACTGCAGAGACTCATGTGGGTAGGACCTGCAGAGCCACGTCAGAAGATTTTGATTTAACTAAAAACTCCCCAACTTACATAGATTTTATAGGTGTTCCTGATGAGTATGAATTGGCCAACCAGGTTGCAGGAAGGTTTGAATCCATTTTCCTATGGATAACTCCAAATAAAAATGTAGATAGAATAAACTATGTTCATTATAATGTTCAGCGACTGGCTAATTTGACACGGGATGCAGTTGCGGGTCTATCTGAACAACTGGCCGCCACTTCTTTGATGGCCTCACAGAACAGGGTGGCCCTGGACATGCTTTTGGCTGAGAAGGGGGGTGTTTGTGCTATGGTGGATCCTCTGTGTTGTACTTTTATCCCTGATAACACAGCTCTGTAACCAGAGCACTGGAAGGGTTGAGGATGCTGTCCACCAAAATGACAGAAGACTCTGGCATAAATAATCCCTGGGATGACTGGTTTAGTAATCATTTTGGTAAGTATAAAACTATAGTGGTGTCTTTGTTGATGTCCATAGCCACATTTGTTGCCATACTTACATGTTGTGGCTGTTGTTTCATCCCGTGCCTTTGCACTCTAGTGCAGAGGTTGATCACAACTCCGCTGACAAAAGAGGATGAGTCTCCTAAGTTTCAAGTAGGGAAGGCACCAGCTCTGACATAAACGGTAGTAACCAGACTGAAAAGCAGCGCACATTTCGGTGCTTTATTTCTGTGCTTTTTTTTCCTGAGATGTCATACACTTTGGATTCTAGCCAATCATTTTACCTTTCCGAGGATAGTAGGCGGGCCCAGGTTCGTACGTTCTTTTAGAGCAGAGCTACAGATTAAAAATGCCCAAGGTGAAGAGGTCAAAAGTCTGACTGTACTTCACAGCAAAAGTTGCAAACTCAGCAGCCTGCAACAAGTGCTTTAAGGTGATTGTTACATCCTGTGAGGCTGTGGGAGTGTGTGGGTGGGGTGTTTGCCCGCTCTCTCCACCTCCTCCTCTCTTGTCACTCCTACCCCGTCTGTCTCTCTCACTCTCCTCTCTCCCCAGGACACAGCTGCTCCTGATTAGCCTCATTTGCCACCTGAATCCAGTCAGCAATCACCTCTGAGGCTATTTAAGCTGGGGACGAGCAATGAGCAGGGTGGTTTTTTCCCCTCTGTGGCCGTATGTGGTTTTCTGCTGGGTTTTGGACAGACAGCCTCCTTGTCATTGGTAATAAAACTATATTATTACAGAATAACTCTGTCTGTTTTCCTTTTCATTCTGTTTCCGGACTCATTTGTTACTGGTCCCCTCACTCGCATGCCTAGACCCCTTCGGGGGGAACGTAACAGTGATACTGTGCAAAGGAGGTAACACCTCGAATCTGATGAAACACCTGGTGACGTATAGCATTTTGTTAAAAGCCGAGAAATGCGGCGTATTTGATAGCTTGCTGCGAGACCTCACACCGTGCACATCTACTGTGGGTGTGGTGCCTGTTATCGGACCCGGAGTTAGCAACATCCCCCAAAAACCCGAAGAGGAGACTCCTGGCCCCTAGCCCTGCCAGTGTAGCAGAAATGATGAGGATGATGATGCAGCAGCAGCCGTTCTTCTCTGCGTGAGTAGCTTAATGTTGTTCGTGTGTAATTTACGTTGAGTAGGCTAACCACGTTATTACATTAATGCATGTAAGGTGAACTAGCAAACACCGTCGTAGTTACATGCGGTTTCTTGTTTAATGGCAGATACTCCCTTCACCCTGGCCAAAAAGGCTGAAATGACCAAAGAAAAAGTGGAAAACAGCTAAACATGAGAGGCTCATGACTATGTTTGTGTGTTTCCCATTGATTAAGCACTGCTTCCAGCCAAGAGTGATACCATAAATCCCCTATAGCTGCAGAAAAGGCTAACACTGTTATCTTTTTACAAAAAACAGCTGAACATGAGAAGTTTTTGGACCAATTTTGTGTTCTCCAATCTTTAAGCACCGGTTCGAGCACCGGTTCGAGCACCGGCACCGTTTCAAAAGTACCGGTTTGGTACTGGTATCGGATAAAACCTAAACAATACCCATCCCTAATCACAAGTGGGGCCCAAGTTTTATTGCACCTTCACAAGCAGACTCATTTTCCTCTTGAGGGCTCTGGACATCCTGTTGCAGAGGAGATGACAGTTGGTCGGAACTGTTCCTAGACTGAAGAGATAAGGATCTGCTAATAATTGATCTGCTGTGCAATGTTCTTTGTTTGGGAGGTATAAAAGGGTTCAGGGTGGTGTCTTTCCCTTAGAAAACCGGGTTAGGAGTGTCATCTGAACGTTTTTCTCCACTGCAGTGTTTTTCTTGCTTTTTTTAAATAAACCTCACTTCAAAAGACATGCTCGCCTGTTGGTTGCAGTTTTAATCAAGATTTTCCATAACAGGGATCACTTGGAAATTCTCATTTTCCATGAAAACATGCAAGAAATTGTTGCGAATAGGGGATATACAAAATGAACAGGACATTGCAGCAATTACAGCCATAGGAGACCATTCTGTCAGTCCTTCAAGGTAATCAGATGATATTACACCCCATGCTTCCTGAACAATTTCCCACAATCAGGGTGGCTTGATGAGTCACCCTCTGTACCATATGTTCAAGCTGCTCCCACAACAGCTCAACAGGGTTCAGATCCAGAAACTGCTGGATACTTCATTACAGCCAGAATACTTGGCTGGCTTCTTATTCTTTAAATATTGCTGACACATTGTGACAGAAGGTGTTTTTGGAGTCATTATCCTATTGTAGGATGGAATTGGCCCCAATCAAGTTCTGTCCACAGGGTATGGCACAGTGTTGCAAACTCTTGTTCCTTTCACTGTACAAATCTTCCGGAGCACCCCCAGCCATTACACAGCACTGTTCTTGCATTTGTTGCTTGTTCTGCATCTCACAAATATTCTTCTGTTTGAGCCGAAGGCCTCAAACTTAGACTCATTTGTCCACAACACCTTTTTTAAGTTATCCACTGTCCAATGTCTGTGCTCTTTTGCCTATCTCAGTTTATTTTCTTTTTTGTTGTTCAGTCTAAGATATGGCTTTTCATGGCATGAAGCCCAGCATCCTGAGGTCGCCTCTTCACTGGTGATTCTGACTCTGGTGTTTAATGGGTGCTATTTAGTGCAGCTGCAAGTTGACAACCTGTGAGGTGTCTTTGTCTTAAACTACACACTCAGATATGAATTGAATGTTATTTGAATTGTTTATGAAATGAATTGCATAAAAAAATATTTAATTTTTCAAAATTGTTAGTGGGTTGTGAAGAGCGCTGAGTGAAAGTGTTTTTGTGAGAGAAATTTAAAATGGCAAAATCTGTACTTTGGCTGCACAGTCCTTTTAAGAAAACTAAAATGCTTACCTTTGGAAATGCTTCCTCAATTTTTAAAGCAGATCCTAGCTTTGTTAACGGGTGTATTGACTCCACTCTTCCTTGCACCAATTCCAATTCTCAGGTTTTGACGACTTCCAGAATTCCTGCCAACAAAAGCTTTGCATGGTGTTGACCTTCATCAGAGTTTGCATCAGCCAAAACCAATTTGTGAAACTCATCATGCTTTCATGGCCTAAAGGTGAATGGGGAATTCACCCTTTACCCACTCATTTTTGGTGTTACTACGTATGTTCTAGAGTGCACTTAAAACATGGGAGGGGCATGGTACCAACGACCCTCTGCCTGATAGCAGCTGGTGTCAGCACGGCCCCTCACGAGAACCCTCAATTACATGTATTTAAAATTGAAAGGTGGGCACCGGCACCACAGGTGAGGCTGAATAAACAAACTGTCCTCTGGATGCCATTTAGTGTGCCAGACCGAGGCCCGCAACAGCAGCACTGCCAAGCCCCACAGGGCCCAGAGCGGCCCACCCAACCCATTTACTTTTGGGATAAGACATTTGTTTGTAGTATTTCTTTTTTCAGGAGATCTTAGGAATCCAAGACATAGAAATAGACAGACATTTGTCATCCATATAATATTAATAACACAAACACAATAAGAATTCAATGCAGTGACAGTGCAACTCCCTTAATCACCAGATAATTCAATTTAGTTCAATTCAATTTTATTTATACAGCATCAAATCACAACAATAGTCACTCTTAAAAATAATACAACAGAGAAAACCCCAAAATTCATATGACCCCTATGAGCAAGCACTTTGGCGACAGTGGGAAGGAAAAACTCCCTTTTAACAGGAAGAAACCTTCAGCAGAACCAGGCTCAGGGAGCTGTGGCCATCTGCCATGACCAGTTGGGGTGAGGGGAGGAAGACAGAACAAAAGACATACTGTGGAAGAGAACCAGAGAGGCCTGCATTTGTATAGCGCTTTACTTAGTCCCTATGGACTCCTCCTACTGTGCACCAATAACAGTCAATAAGGATTAAAATTATTTCAGTGAGTGCCTTATGAAGGATTTGTTTCTTGCTGTTTTCCATCAGACACGTATTCTCTGTAAAAGAAATACATTACTCTTTGTAATTGCAGTGTTTTGCGATCCATCATGTCATCTGTTTTTTTAATCCATTGTGAAGTCCCATTGTAAAGTAAAACTTTTGTCAACCTAATCTTTATCTTGATCAAAGTAGGCAAGGTATATTTTTCCATAGTCTTCTTAGCAATCATTTCTTTTTGCTAGTATTCCTTCAGCCATTTGTCTTCCTAATGTGTCTACTTCTGTGCAGGAACAAGCTCATCTATACTTAGGTTGCCTTCCAGCCTTTTCTCCATGATGGTAAGTAGCTTAACCCCGTCCACCACCAGCTGGGTCAGTGCGACCTCGGTAAAGCCAAAGGTTGCCATGTTGCTTATATTATATAGTTCCGGGGAATCTGGGAAATGAGGAGATTTGGAAAGTTTAAATCCAACACTGACAGTTAGTGGTGTGGGATGTAGCAAATGTGGTATTGATCTGATACCAGGTAAATACAGCATGAGTATTGCTAAAACCAAATACCAGTATTGATACTGACCCACGTCACCCCTACCTGTGGCCCGTATATTGACGTGAAGAAATATAACACAATTTGGCCCTTGAAGTTACACTTTTTTGTTAGGGAGGATTTGTTCGTTGTTGAGTGCAATGTTAAAATAAGTTCTTTAAAAAGCAAAAACGGATTTAATATGAATTAATTCAAAACTTAGTCAAAGTTTTGAAGCTATGAAATATCAGATCTAGGTCTTCTGTTTACCTGTTTTGTCCATGTTGATCCTCAGTCTTTTCAGAACATCCTTAAGGTGTTTATGTGTGGGAAGGTGTTGCAGTTTGATGAGGACGCTGATCCTCAGACCTGTACCCACATTAGCCGGGGAGCTCGTCACCCATCCCAACTGCTGCTTCCAGATAAAGGGATGTCTGAGACCTCTGTAGTATTTTTCCAGCTAGACACAAACAACCAGTCTTCATGAGTTCAACCTGGTTTCCCTGGTGGAGCTTTTGCAGTTACTTTTTAAGGCCCTAAGTACTTTTTCTAGAACTAGCATAAGTGAAAAACATCTATCCAACCATTCATTTCCTATTGTTTATCTGGTGCTGGGTTTCAGGAGCAATAGCCTAAGGAGAGGAGGTCCAGACACCCCCC